TTTGAGTAGGAATGAGATTTTCAGACATTTTATGTTTGATTATGAGGCTGTAAAATGCTAGACTTGGGGGGGGGGAGCTGTTCTGCAGAGGCTCAAAAGTTCATAGGAAGATTAAGTATTCTGCCTAGGAACCAGTGATAGCCCATGAAAAGATCAAAGGTTCAACCCTGGAGAAGTAGAAACTTAGAGAGTGAAGCCCTAATATAGTTGGGACCTAGAGTACAGCTGAAGCGATGCTAAATCTAAATCTCTCCAGCCTAAGGATTTTGGAAATTACTCTCTTCATCTCGTGCCAGAATAGTGGCTCCATTTCTGGGCTAGAGGAGGTTGGAATCTGACATAACTGACCTCTTCCTCTTTTAAAAAAAACCTCTTCTGTTGGCCGACCTTAGCTAGCAGAGCAGTTCTACTGGCAAATCCCTCTGCTAGCAGATTTCTGAGATCAGCTGTCAAAAGGGCATAATGTCAATACAATGACACTTCTGCTGGCAGAGGAGGGTTTCTGTGGCAGAAGTTTCTGACTGGGCATGAGACGTTTTAAAAATCGAAGGCCTCTCAGGTGTTTTCAGTTGCTCACGATGTAGTTTCCTGGGAGGCACTGCATACAGAGAATAATGGAGAGGGAAATTACCAGGCCCCTAATGTCTTGCGTCTCCTAGGGAAATCAGCCCCTCTTAGCCACATTCTCCATCCTCATGAAGACTCACCATGTCTTAGATGGAGCCTGTATTTCTCAGGTGTAATTGATTTTAAAAACCCAATTTCTCAACTTAAGCCCCCAGAATAATGGATGGTGGAGTCTTGCAGACTTCTAGAGCTGTAGCTCAAAAATATGGAATATGATATGTGCCTATTTCTGATTATTCATAACTCTGTACGGCTGGTGCACCTTTGAGTTAGGACTATACTATTATCTGGGGCTCTGCCCACCTTCTGTTTACCCAAAGCTTTGAGGGTAAGGGAGTACAGAATTGGGGAGAAATACATAAGAAGGAACAAAGGCTCTGGAGTCAACCAGAGCAGAAGTTAAAGCACTGAAACAGAAAGAAACCTGGATGGAAATTAGCATTAGATTCTGATTGGAAAAAGTTAATTGTGAATGCTGAAAATTGCTTTATACATAAGCTTTGGCAAGGAAACAGGTTTGGCTGCAGTTGGGTATACTTATAACTGTTAATTCTATTTAGTCTTATGGTTATCAGGCCAACTTTTCTAACAACAGGTTTTTTTTTTAATTCTTGGTTATTGATCTGTTCATTTTAAAGAAACTTGAAGAGGAAGCAAATTTACCCAAGAATAAATGAGACTTTATAATCAATCTCATGCCTAAATGGCACACTGCACCACATTGCATAAAATAATTAGCTGAGCCAGTAATGATATTCTCAGGCTTGAATCCATTTTATAATCCTAAGTAAAGTAGACCGATTGGATCAATGAGATGTACATAAATGTTGATTTACCATTAAAAAACTGATTCAGTGTATCAACCCTAGTTAGAAATAGCAACTGTATTCAGGTTACCTTGCTTTCTCTCCTTCTGAGGATGCAGGATATCACCTATGCCTCCTACACCTTTAAACTCACAACCAGATACAGTGGTGCCTCGCTTAGCGATCGCTCCATTGAGCGATGAAATTGCTTAGCGATGGGGTTTTGGCCATCGCCAGAGCGATCGCTTAGCGATGGCCCCTATGGGAAAAAATCGCTTTGCGATGATCGCGGGGAAGTGATCATCGCAAAGCCTCCATTTTCGGCCAGCTGATCGGCGGTTCCAAAATGGCTGCCGGAAAAACAAAATGGCCACATGCTGTTTTGCCTCACTTTAGAGGCACCGAAAATGGCCACCCCATGGAGGATCTTTGCATAAGGTCAATTTTGAAGCCCATAGGAACGTATTAAACACGTTTTAATGCGTTTCTATGGGCTTTTTCATTCCACTAAGCAATGAAATTGCTTAGCAACGTTTTTCCTGGAACTGATTAACGTCGCTAAGCAAGGCACCACTGTAGTAGGTGGGTGCTATTCATGGATAGCTGCCAGCAGTAGAGGCTACTGACAATATTGTTGAATCAGTGAAATTTGAGTAGGAACTATCTAAGGTGCTGAACCCTGTCACTTGAGTACGTTCAGCACCATGGACATCTCTTTTAAAGTTCAGACCAAAATCTGAAGCAGGTCCAGAGTCTTCATGAGAGCCTAGCCTAGAATTCTGGAACTCAATGTGACAAACCCAGACCTACTGGGATATACCACAGTTTCACTAAGCTGCCACCAACCATTCCCTATAAGAAGTCACACAGACCAGGGATGGATTTTTAAACAAATAAAAGAACAAGGTTTATTTACATAACACACAGGGAAAATAAAATGATCAGGTGAATAAGATAGGGGCCCATCCATTTTGTTCGGCTAGGGACGGGACAGACTCTCAGGTTGGCTCTGATGCTCTGGATGGGCATTTGAGTTTAACAGATAAGACATACTGTAAGACATAAGAAATCTATTTGTCATTACGCTCACAAGTGGGTGCAACGAAATGAGGTGCTCTTCCCCGAGGTAAAACTGGACAACACTACAAAAAAAAGTTAAAATATACACAACTTTCACCATCCAAATATAGATACCCCGTTTTCTCTCAGCAATTAAAATTCCACCAAAAACCTATGGCCCC